ACTAAACTTCACAAGATGAGATAAAAATATTGAGTTCATGAGAACAAGATCTTAGCATTACGTTCAAGAAAACCTTAAATCTATGCTGGAAAAAGTTATTTCTTCTGGATTTTGCCACAAATTCAGCAAACAAATTCAATGTTCATCTCGTCAGGCCTTAAGGCAGTGCTTCAATGATCCATGGTCCGCAGTACAGCATTTCTCATTTGCTATTGATATGGTGTGCTGGGATTGTGGTGTGGCTCAATGTACCCCTAGACATCCAGCCATCAGTTGTTATGGCAATAGTTTCTATTTCTTTAAGTGTCTGAACAACTAGCACTACCTACATATTGTTCATATTTTGTTTTTCACTCTCTTGTCATTTATTGTACTGGGAACCCAACATGTTGCCAAAAAGACGGTTTAAGAGTAGCTGGTTCAGCTTCTGTAACAACTTCATCACATGAAGTCTGGCAAGGCAGTATTCACTTCAATGAGAAGTATCGTGACGTTTCAATGTCACCAAAGTTGAAATACTTTTGCAAAGTACTGTATGTTGGCTGTCTTTCCATTGACTTAAACTGTTTTCACACCATTTACTCCAGTTTTACTTCCGACTACATCCCAAAGGCGAACCACTGCAGCAGGTCAGACGGTAGAAGCAGCACTGCCTCTTTAGCCACATCACAGAGTCACTATGTGAGATAAACACAGCCCAACTTCAGCCATCATCACGCGACACAACTTTGAACCAACAAGAAGAAAACAAGTTCTTTTTTCAACATTAATGACAACATTAACGTCACGAAGAAAACAAATCCCAAAGGGACTTCATTAACCACCTGGAGCAGAGAGACCTGGCATGAAAGATAGTAGGTCAGCTTGGTCTCGTTTAAAAATAAACTACACCAATAAAAAGATTGTTATGCTCAAATGGCTTTCATAGCACTGAAAATAAAGCTATAAAAGATTGCTGACAGATCTGGAGATAAGGGGAGAGGTGAAGTGGACATGTATTTGTGGTAAGAGCAGAGAGCCGTGGATAAGGAGCAACATGTCTGGCAGGCATGTTGGAAGAAATTGAATTTGCTGAATTAAAACCCTAAGAGTCTGCTTAACTGTGGTGACGATCTTTCTAGACTCGTCTTGGATTATATCTGTGACATACGCATGCCGAAGTGGCAGGACTTAGTGACCCAACCTTGAAGAAGAAGAAGAAGAAGAAGAAGAAGAAGAAGAGTGGCCATTTTCAAAACCTTATTGAAAAAAAACAAAACAAAACAAAAAAATCACATAGCAAAATCTTTTCTATTAGTTACAGTGGCCAAAGATCCATCTCTCTGCCCAGCTTGTATTTAATGAGCCAGATGGGTTTAAAGAGAAGCAGCAAAACACAAATTAGGTGGATTTATTTATGTTTTTTGTAAAGAATCTGTTTATGTCATTCATTTACAGTTTAAAATGAACATTTCACATGTTTACAAAAACAAAAGTTCTGAATGAAAATGTGTTTTTTCTTTTGATAAAAGCATTAATGAAAAAGCAATGTCACTTTTACAATGTAACTGCAACTAAATAAAAAATTTAAAGCCTTTAATAAAAATGTATGCCTCTAATCATTTTAGGTTAAATGATGCGTTTAAGCTAAAATGCATCTAATAAAACTGCACAATAATCCACAACTTTGTCACTCTATACTGCTGTATAATAGACATACAGCTTTTATCTATCTTTTTTTTGTTTAAATCAAGTATCCTCAGTTAAACTCTCTTCAGCCTGAGGGCTATTTTTGATGACGTTTTATTGCTAAGAATTGCTTGATTTCACCTTTAGGCGCCTCAGTTTGCGGGTCAACTCGTGTTATCATGGATACTCGAGCACCTGTGCACCTTTACAGTTGGGTGAAACCATAATAAGTTCATTAGGTTAAAGTTGGCTTTAGTTGTGTAACAAAACACAGTGGGGGTTCACCTGACCCACAGGTGACAGCAGCTTTCGCCTGCTGCCTCCAACAGTCGCTATCATGTTATCAAAACTTGCGCTTGCCATTTTTCCGTGTTAGTTTCAACAGAAAAGCATAGTTTCATATGTTAGAAAAGAAGAGGGCGTTCTGAGTTTTAAACTCGCTCTTGAATGACTCCTACCTGTCAATTTCGGCTGCAGACGCTTGCTGTCACTTTCCGGTTCTCCACTCTGCTTTACCACTCCAAACAAACCACTGACTGCGGACTGACAAGTCCTGACATCCCGCTAAAAGCTTTAGGTTCCCGGTCAGAGGCCCTAATGAAGCTCGGTAAAGATTTGTGCTGCGTTTAATGCTGCCCTCGCTCACCAGCGCGAGTTTGAATACTCTGCCTGCTGGCGTCGCTTCTATTCACGCTTTGTACGGCACAGAGATCGTCTATAAACATGAAGATGCGTCACTCCAAAAATCAAAACTGAACCTGCTCCTGTATTTATTTCTTTAAATTTAGGTTTGGCCTAAGGTTGTATAAGACCGTAAGAAGAAATTAATCTGGAAATCCAATCCATTATAAAAATCAAAATTTTAATTCCACAGATGTTAGAGTTGGGAGTTGTTTGCAAACTGATTTGACAAGCTTTTCTTGGGTGGAGTTCAACATATTCAACTCTGCTACTCAAACTTTCACTTAAAATGTGGCACCACCTAAGGAGGCATAAGTAGGTGGTTAAACAATATGATAAACTGCCATGAAGAATTGTTTTGAAAGAAAAATATATGTAACACAAATGTCCTTGATTTTTGTGACAGGCTCCTGCTGGCCTTAAGCTACAGCTTTGCTTGCTTATGCTGGCACAGTTCGTTATTAGCAGTTTCATGTAATTGTTTTCCTGATGCAATATATTTAAAAGAAAAAATCACATTGTTGTGTATAAATACTGTGGGGAAAAAAATTGAATCCTCACCAACATTAAAAGTAAAGTGAGAGCTCTGCTTTTATATATATATATATATATCTTGGCCAGTCGTAAAGGAGAATGTCAAACATTAAATAAAAAAATTACGAATTTGATACACACAAAAAGCTTGATTCAGTTTCTTGATTCAATTTTCAGGTTTCACTGTTTTCAAATACATTATCTCACACCATTTTTACAGAGAGCAATTGGATATTAGACTATTTTTTAAGAACAAAACCCTAAAAGAAAACCCCCTTAAAACGTTTGCAGTCTATGGGAGCAATGCTCCTTCTGAAACCATGATTTAGAAATTGTGACGCAGGATCCAGTTGACGGAATCCGTCAAACTCAAAGGTTTACTTTGTCTCCATCACCTGGTCAAATCTTGCCACTACAATTTGTTAGATTCTCCGTCAGAATGGGAGACAGTCAAAAATAAAAAAGTTAATGATTTTAGGTATGAAATGATCAGGTAACCCATTAATATTAACAATAAAATTATGTTTTAGTAATTAATCTGGGGCTGAAATGATTAATCGGATTAATTGTGATTGTTGAAATAATCACAACTAATTTAGGAATTGAAAGTTAAGAGACATATGGACTCAAAACAAGGCCGTTTGCTGAAAGAACAGTAAATACAAAACTGCACAAAGAATCTTCATATTTTACATTGTGGATAAAGAACATAAATTCTTTGCTTGTAAAAAAATAAAAAAAATAAAGCGAAGACATGTTAAGTGACTTTTATTGCAATAAAAATGCCCAGCAAAGCCTGCTTACACACAATCAAGGGAAGAAAACAAGGTTAAGCGATTTCCAGACAAATTCATTGATTGAAGGAATTTTCTAGAATTCGTGAATTTTTTTTTTTTTTTCAGGCTCAGATTTGCAGCCTCAAACAGAGCCATTATCAACCTTTAAAAATCAATTTATGTCAGTTTTGGTTTAGTGGAGAAGCATCTTTGCTTTCTGATTCTAAAACAATGTGCCGTTTTTCCCCCACAACAATCATCTTAAACGTAAAGTTTAATTCCAGGATGTTGTAACAGCTGCTTACAGCAGTAACTTTAGATTCTGGCAAGAAGAAATAAAAAAAAATAATAATAATAAAAAAAATAAAGAAGAAACCTAAACAAGAAAAGCCTTTTACCTTCTAAAATTACATTCAATTTTTATAGTGAAGTTATAAAACTTAAAAAGGCACAAAAAGAAAATGGCAAAGAATTTTCAAATTGAATGAATCATTAATAAAAATCAGAAACCACAGGAATACCAGACCAGTGATGTAACCACGCGGGTCCCAAGTGTTTGTGACAGACTTCTGCATACATCAGAATATTTCCTGTATCAGCTCGAAAAAAAAAAAAATATATATATATATATATATATATATATATATATATATATATGTATATTTAAAAAAAAAAAAAAAGACGAGCCGGCCAAGAAATTGATTTGATTAACAACACACAGAGAGAGAAAGAGAGGATACAGGAGAGTAAGCGACATGTATGCATAGCTATCAACTGTATTTACACATTATGGGAAACACTGTTCCCGATAATTACAAAAGAAGAAAAAAAAAAAAAAAAAAAACATCCACCCCTACAGTGAAATATGGAGGGCACTGCCTCCGATACGGACACACGTGCTGGTAGACAAAAACTACCTCCTTCTGTTTTTTTTTTTCCACATTATGGAAAACGCTGCTCCCGATAATGCTCTGAGGACGAGAAGAGCGCATGAACCCGAGGGAGCGGCAGAGAGAACGGATCGTTTTTGGTTCCGTTCCGCCCGGTCGGTCCATGCGTACGCTTCTCTGTTTTAGCAGATGCTGCTTTTGTCATTTCGACAGTATAACTGTCATAATTATGGGAGGCACTGCTCCCGATAATTATACAAAATAATTAAAAAGAAAAGGCAATAAAAACCTATTTATAGTGAACCCTGCCACTGATAAATAAATAACAATAAATAAAAACATACGGTTTGTGGTTCAGTGCTGTGTGTTTTTGGGAACCTTCCACCTTTATTTTTTGGGGGTAAGGTCCGTACGTATTAGCTCTGTGATTCCTGATTGGGTCAGGACTTAATTTTTTTTTTTTTTTAGTCACATGAGCTTTGAGGCAGATAACGGCTGCGCTCTGTGCACCATGGAAACTGCGTTGTTCCGATTTTTTTTTATTTCCATTTTTTTGTAATTGATGATTTCAGCACCTTCTGAAACTGAGGAGCTGGGTTTTTATCAAATTGTAGCTACCAACGTAAACCAGCTCAGGCTTGAACATTTGGCTTCAGCAGCATTGTAATTATTTTTAGTAAACAGATAAAAGGTTATTAGTTTATCATACTGACCTGTGGTGATATGATTCTCTGAGTCATGGGAGAGATTATGACCTATTGGGATGTTGGGAAATGCTCTACATTCAGCTCATTCGTAGGAAAATACAATTGGCTACTCCTGCCATGTAAAACTGGGATGTTCTAGTAGTCATTAGCAGCACCAAAGCATCAAACATTTGGTTTTTCAAATGTTACATGTGGATAAAAAGTATTGAATATAAAAGGGGGGACAATGTTATTTTCTCCAATTGTTAAAACTTATTGATTTTTTTAAAAGGTTGTGCAACTGTTGATCAGTTTAGATTTCATTATCCAGAGACCAGATGTCCCCTGCTAAGGAGTTGGCGCAGCCTTGGATGGTCCAGGTTGCCAGGGCAAACTCGTTGAGGAACAGCTCGGCGTTTGCCTCGGGGTTGTTCGTCTTCAGGGCCTCCAGGTGTTTGGTGAGAGCTTTGAGAGTGTGGGGGCCCGAGCCGACCAGGATGTGGCGGAACGGGCTCTGCCTGGGGGAGACGTAGTGGGACAGGAAGTTTCTTTCCACCTGCAGAGAGGGCGCAGGAGGGAAAGCTCAGATTCAAATTTGTCAATAACCTGTGAAAGTTCAAGGGTCGTTCTGAAAGTGACCGTGCTGATCAGGAAAACCAAGGGAAGGGATGTTCTGAAGTGGTTTGCAAAAACAGATTGGGTGCACTTCTGGGTCATTCTGAAATGATTGAACTGAGGCTGGAACAATAATTGCGATTAATTGATTGTTGAAATAATTGTCAACTAATTTAGTCGTTGATTAATATTACCTGGATTGCTCAGACTCAAAAAAGGCAGTTTGCTTAAACAACTGATGGGCCTGCAGACATGCTGAACGGAGATGTGAAGGTCTTACCGCCATGATGCGGTCGTTGATGAGGCGGCACATCTCGATGTCCTCCAGGTCGCTGTTCTGGATGTCATTCTGCAGGCTCTGGGCGGCCCGGCTGTACGAACCAATGGCGGAGATCAACCACTGCACCGTCAGGGATTTGGGCAACAGCTGCGGTTGCATCTGGAACAATGAACGGATGCAGCATAAGTAAAAAAAAAAAAAAAAGTCATGAAATGAGAACAAAAGTTAAACGTAACCCAACTCACCTGCAGAACATCTTTGACTCTTCCATTGATCTTGTACACGTAGGAACGGACAACCTTGTAATATTTCATCACGTCCATCTGCAGCAGGTGGTCGTGGACCAGCCTCAGAGCTATGTGGCCGGCGAAGCGGCCTGCCGTCGCCGCCAGCTGGGGGACCTGGCTGGACGTGGCAGCATTCAGGTTCGCCACGGTGTCCTCCATTGTGCCAAAGTGATTGTAGTTCTGAGAGGGGAAAAACGGGAGGGTAAACGAGGCATGAGGCTACGCCATCAGCAGCTGTCGAGTTTTATGAAGGATCTACGGTGAACGAGAACAACTCACCGAGTTGTCCGGGGAGAATCTGAATGACATGGAGGGGATTCCGGAGAAGGCGAGGAAAGGATACGCAGCGCTGTCCATCCGCATCGGCTCCAGACTGCACAACAAAAACGGCAAGAATGATGAGAACAAACTAAAAATACCACTAATGTTAAACATTCAGGAAGTTGAGTTTGATGTCATCGGTTGACATCAAACTCAAATATGTAAGGAGTTTACTTACATATTTGATTCAAAGTTGTCCTTTGCAAATTGCTTGTAAAGAGAGGCATCTCGGATTTTTACCTATTAGGAAAAAAAACCAAAAATATGTGCATATAAACATCAATACATTTTCAAAAAACTATTTATTATAAAAGCAAAATCTGCTGGATGTTTACCTCTTTTAGGGTGTTTTCAATTAGGGTGTGCATTAGAGGACTGGCTGCTACTTTAAATCCATTCAGACCTAAAAATAAGAAATTGTACTTATTTAAATACAAAACTGCTACTTTATACAGTACCACGATGTGCTTGTAAAATATATTGGGCACCAAATATATTGAATACGAAACCAAGTGAGTACCTGTTACAATGCCATCCAGGTTGATGTAAGAGAAGGCTTTCATGCTCAGAGACGACAGATACCCCTACAGGTGAGATTAAACAACAGTTAGGGTAGATATAACACTGAATATTTTATTAAAAGTTGTTATAAGAGTAAAAAAAAAAAAGTTCAGGAAAAAAAAAAAGTCTTGCAGTCCTCACCTCCAACCACTCGGTGGCGCCAATGTTTCCATATTCTCCAGCACTCCAGCTAGCAAACACAATGCTCCTCCTTGGCTTGAATCCGCCTGTAAAAACAGGTTTGCATTTGTTCGTCTGTGATGTTTTCAAACCGCACATCTTAGAAAACGCCCGAGTTTGTCCCGATGCTCACCGTTCTTCACCATGTCAGAGATGGCACGGGCCAGCTCCACCAGGACGCTGGTGCCGACGGTTGACGCTGCGTAGCCCGGACCCCACGCGTCCCTCTGGGCGCCGATAACCACATAGCGGTCTGGACAAAGTCAGAGGAGTTCCTGACGATCACTTCCTCCAAACACACACACAGACTCTTCTCTCCTTGAATTCCAGTTTCATTTTACCTGGGTCGACAAAACCTTTGATGACCCCAAACACGTTATGGATCTTCTTCTCTGTGAGAACGTTGTTGACCTCCACAGTGATGATGTCAGTCTCGCCTCCTAATGTGTTGTAACCTCTCCACCTTTCGGGCCTCTTTGGACCACCTAGCTGGCTGTGGGAGCGGCAGAGGAACACGTTACAGAGCTCACTGGCATCGATGTGAAAAACTAAACGAATCAAAGATGTGAGCTTTACCTAAGGATTTTCTTTGCCACCCTCAACGTGATGGTCTGTGCCAGGATCTTGGGCAGGCCTGAAGACTCCGCAGGAGGGAACTGGGTGTGGTTGAAGGATGGGAAGCCGGGGGTGTAAGGATCACCTGAGCCCATGTGGACCTGCAGGAGAAGATTACGAGAGTTACAATTATGTTTGATTGACATCCACCGTTTGATCTTCTGTTTTCACCCAATTATGCCTAAGGATAAGAGGCGTATGCCACACTTATATTTACTGGGAGCGTAGAGCTAAAGTCCTGTGCAGAATTCAGACCAAATGTGATCTGAGCGTCAAAGTGATCCTCATCAGCGAATGTGAAAAAGCTCACAACACCTCTGAATTATCTGGTGAAATCCAGACGACATTCTCTTCTTTTCAGTAAATACAGCCAAGACACCCTCGATATTTCATCCACCATTGTACAAAAAAAAACAGGAGAAGAAAAAAAAAAAAAAAAAAAAACAAGAAGTTCCTCCCGAAGCACATCTGTAGTGATTTCAATCGCCTGACTTCAAAGTGCACAAGCATCCAAATGAAGGCACTGGACGCATTTCTGACCCGCAAAGTGTGTTTGATTTGAACGCAGTGCTAAACTACAAGAAGAACAGAAATATCAAATATCCACCAGAGGGCGCTCTAGTATTAACCAAACCACTGGCCCCTTGATGGCTTCATAAACTTCCTCCATGGGGAAAAAAACAACCCAAAAACAATCTTGATTATATTTTTTATATACATTTAATATAAAAAGATGAAATAAAATAAATGCCCAATGTAGAAATAATTTAAGCCATTCAAGACTAAACACCACAAACTGACTCAACTAACATCTAAATAAACTCAAAATAGATTAAATGGGCATAATTACAAACTCTATTCTAATTCTAATTTTGATTATGTCATCTCGCAACTAATAGAATCTCAAATTCTGTTACTTATAAACAATGTATTATTGGTTTTGTGTACATTTCTAAGACATGAATGTTAGGTTTTTGGCCTATGAAGTCATAGGGTGCCTTCACAGAACCACAAACAGCTGGATGCTCACAAACATCTGTATTCAAGTGCATTAATGGAAAGTTGAGTGGAAGGAAAAGGTGTGGCTGGAAGTGAGGCTTGTGAAGCCAAGTTTCTTCAAGATTTTCAAAGAGATTCACAAGGTGTGATCTGTGCTCAAGTTGGTGTTTTTTTCTTTTCTGGGCTAAAGAAAAATAACTTATTTAATGATGAAAAGAAATTGAGGGTCCAGATTCAGGATGAAGATCATTTGTGGAGTCAATGAAGCCGTCTACCAGGAAGCTTTAGAGCCTTCATGCTTCCTTCTGCTGACAAGCCTTAAAGACATGCTGATGTCATTTCCCAGCAGGATGTGGCTGCTGGGAAAATATCGACTTAGTAATCAGAGCATCTCTGTGCATGACTGACCGGCAGGTTTAAGGAAACCCATATGATGCATTGCATTGTTCTGAGATTTCATCTAAACAGACTGGTTTAGCATCAGGCGCGTCACTCACATGCCCGTAGAGCTCGGTCTCCTCTTTGATGTTGTAATCATTCGGGTCTCGGTAGATCAGAACAGCAGAGGCATTCATTCTGGCGGCGTTGGCCACCTGGAATCACAAAGAAACTAGGATCTAAAATGTGTTTGACTCAAAAACAACAAAAATAAATACAGAACAGATGAGGAAGTAGCTGTTGTTTTAAACCGGTCACCTTCTCGGCGAAACTGATCTTTCCATCTCTGATCAGCATAACTCTGCCGTTCATGTTGATGTTTTTGTCCTGCAGCACCCGGAAGTCGTCATCCTCACCATAATGAGCGTACAGCACCGCGCCCTAGAAGCGCAGCAGCGTTCTGGTTACCCGCACGCGTTGGGTGTTTTCAGGGTTTTCTCTCCATTTTGTTGCCTACCTGTACTGATCCGACGACGCTGTAGGACAGGAATCCCCTGGAACGGTCCTCTGTCCCGTTCTTGAAGACGATCTTGTTGTAGCCGGCCGCCGGCAGGTCTTGGACCTTGATGAAGTGCTCATCTGTCCAGGTTTTCATGCTGCTGTCCTTGAACCTCTGGAGAACTCGGTTTGCCAGGGATTCATCATCAGGAGAGCCGGCCCGGTGGCTGCCTTGGGCAAACTCACTATGACAGGATAGAAACACCGTTAAACACCTGGGATGCAATGAAAACAACAGTTCATGTTTTTTTTTTTACTTTCTGATCACCTCAAAACTTTTTCTAGTTTGGCAGCAGAGAATTTTTCAGTCAGGAGTTTTGTGACATCATCCCAGTCCATGAGGGGCGCGGCGCCTGTCTCGTGGGGAATGTCGTTATTCTCGATGCTGATGGAGGATGCGCAGACAGGAGCCTGTTCCTTCTTCTTATTAGTCAAGTAGCCGATCAAGAACCCTGGAAGAAGCCAGTGGATTCAGGTTTAAAGAAAAAGCATCAAGAAAACTAATATGGCATGTGAAATTTAATGATGATTCTACGTTTTCCACTTCCGATATCGATATCTGAGGTTTAGTATCGATACAGGAAGACATTGATGAACTGACTAAAAACTAGGGCTGGACGACGAGGCTGAAAAATGTATCACAATACCAGACTTTCAAATAAGTCAATATTATACTGATCAATTTTTTTTTGTTTGTTTGTTTTAAATATCCGAAATACTAAAACAGGTGGTGTGACGGTTCCCATTTCATCCAGTTTTCACAACACGCCATTTTTTTTATTTTTAAGCAGCTTTGAGGCACGGTGGCAAAACCTTCAACTGCTGCTGCGCCAGTTGTTTAACACGTTGTTGCTAGGTAACCAGAGCGAGTTAGCTGATAACACCAACCTTTCCTATCTAGCTGATTTAGAGCCAGAATGAGGTTCTAAACCTGACTTCAGTGAAATCATTTAAATTTCTACTGATATTTTCTATCACGATACATATTGTTATTGATTTATTATCCAGCCCTACTGGAAATGTTTTGTTTCTTTTCCTAAACACAGATATAAATGTGCTGAATTAAATACACCAATAGCTTCACAATCTTGGTCAAACATGTAAAAACAACAAAACTTTAATTTGTTCAATCAGTGGAATTAGGAGCAAAACAGCAAATTTAAAATAACAAACTGGCATTAACAATAGGCTGACAAATGTAAATATTGAACTACAACAAACGGTTCAGCAAATACAATTAGGAATTCTAAATATAATGTAAAATAAATAAAGTATGACATCACCTAGAACACATAGCATAGAATTAGACTGAATAGATTTGCTCTTATAGACCGAGCACTTTGTCACGATACCTGATCTAGAATTTTCATCAATATCAGGACCAATACTAAAACTGGATTGGTGCGTCTATCATTCCTCCTTCAGTGCCTCCAGCTTACCGATGATGAAGATGAGGAGGACGCCACACACCATGTAGCACAAGTTCCTGGGCGTGCGCTGCATCTTTTGAACCATGTAGGGTTTGCCGTTGGTGCCGTGATGATGACGATGGTCTCCCATGCCGTTCTCCACAGCCTCCTCGTCCGCGTCCGTCGACAGCTTCATCTCCACCTGGCTGGTGTCGCCCTCCATGTTCTGGGTCAGGTTGAAGCGGGTATAGGTGTGCGGCTCACCATTAAACTGGGTAATGTCAAGAAAAGGCGGGAACAAAAGGGATTAGGGTTAGCTTGTGTTACACCAGCTGGAAAACCCTCAGAGGAAGCCTGGAGCCCTGCCGACCCTCGTTCATCTTAAACTCAGACATCGTCCGGTTTTTGTCCAACAAACGTACAATCTGGGTAGAAATGAAGTACAGCACACTCCAGCTGCACAAATCAGTTTGTTCCAACTTCATCATCATAATAATAAAGCATCTTGTGGGTTAGAAAGGGTCGGGGTCATGTTCTTTTTTTCAGGGTTTCCACAGGTTTCACCAACTCAAATTAAAGACTTTTTAAAGACAATTATAAATGAAATTTAAGACCTGTAATGCAACAGAAATGTACAAAAGCCGATACATGGGTGACGTTTGCAGTTACTCATGATGGATGTAGAAAAAATAGCTAGCAAGGGTATATTAGCAGCTAGTTAGCAGTAGTCTGCTTTGCCTCGAGTCACAGAACGCAATGTCGATGACTCAAACTTTACACAGACAGAAAAGTCCCGTTTGAAAATCCCCCAAAAAACTACATTTATAAGATTAAGTAGTCCTGCCACATCAACATACCTGTAATTAACTTTTTTAAACCCACGTTAACTTTATTTAATAATTCAAATACATTTTTAAGGCCTTAATTTTAGATGCATGAATTTGAGACTTTTGAAGACTACCATGACTGAAATTTAAGGCCTGTATCACAACAACAATTATACATCTGCACTTACCCACGATGGGGGTAAAAACACTAGATAAGTAGCTAGTAAGGTTAGCGGTTGCCTCAAGTGCCTCGAGTCACAGAATGAAGATGTCAGAGTGTGATCAATGTATTTAAGGTCAACTTACATTTTTTTATTTAATAAACTTTAGACATTTTAAGGCCTTATTTTCTGACACATGAATTTAAAACTTTTTAAAGGTGTGAGGATGCCCTGGTTTTAGTGTTTTTCCCAGACTTTGTGGATTAGGGTTTTGCTTTGACTGAAGGAATGTTTTAGTTTCTATTCTGGTCTGACAAACTATTGTGAATGTGCAGCAGGATCCCCTGAGATGTTGAATAACCTGCAATTCCCCAGAAAAGGAAACTTGGAAAATCTGCACAGTAAAATGAATTTGTGATTCATTTCTATCTGGCTTTTCTATGAATACATTCATGTATGAAAAAAAAACCATCCAGCCAAACTAGAGAAAAACAGCTTCTTTCTCCAGATTCATCACTTTCCCAGCTTAGGCGTGTTGCAGTTTTCTCAGAGGTAGCAACAATACGAATATGAAATCTGATAAAATGTCGACAAGTTAGTAGTTCAGATACGATACTTACAATTTTGGATATTGTTGACCTTGCTTGTTCCATCACTGCTTCTCAGGACTCTAAACCAAAAAACACAGATTAAGACTTTTAGATTCCCAGACTCTGAAAACAATAGCTACGTTGTATCACTGTCAAAACCTGCTTAATTCTCCAGAAGAGTCGACAAACCGCTAGATTTTCACTTATCTTTTAGCACTTTCAGTTCACTTTCCTGTTAAACTCAGGGAACGTTCTGTTTCCAAAGAAGGTGTCCCCACCTCTTGTCAAAAAATCTCTGGGGTTTTCCTGTGTGGCCAGCTTGAAAGAAAGCCCCCATTTTTGAACACAAAAGAGCAGTGTGCTGCTCAGGTTAGCGCAGACCCGGTGCTACGATGTGAACTCAGTCACCGGCAGAGTCCAGAAGCGGACCGGCCCTCAGCGCCTCAGTGGGAGAAACCATCAGCCGGTCCAAGCAGAGGATCAGTTTTATTGATGAAATATCAACAAGAAGAGGAATAAGAGCCTGGCGGATCATTCTTCTCTGAGCCAATCGAAAAACTGAAAATAAATGAATAAATAAATATGGGTGTGATATAGAGTTTCTGAGCTCTCAGGGATTTGCTGCAATCAGACACCGCTTGGCTTCTTCATGACCTTCCACCGCCATTTTTTTTCCCTTTTCCTATGAGGACAGGGAGGTCAAGAAGACAAAACACGACCAGATTATCACATTTAAAAACATCCTTGTGTTTTGGGAACATGAAGCGCTGCAATCGAACCAGGAACACAGATGTGTCCATCGTCTTTAGCTAAAAATTTTTTATTTTATTTTATTTTTTTTTATCTGCATTCTGTCTGAGTAGACATTGAAATTCTTTTGCAATATTTACGCAAAAAAATTTAATTTACTTTGACATTTTGGTGGTTTTATGCTAAGCTGTTAGAAAAATCTGGAGACAAAATGCTTCCCTAATTGAGCATTTATCATCATCCTACTACATCTACTCAACATCAAGCAGCCACATTTATGTCTCATTCTAAACAAACAGGTGAGCAAATCCTTCAGTGGAGAAAAGAGGGCTGTTGGAATCAAAAGCAAACAAAACTGGCTTAAACAACAATCTTTGTTCAAAGGCCGTGACCTCTGACCCTCTGGCTCACCCTGAAGAGCAAACAAGCACTAAAATCTCTAGAACGCCACGTGTTTTTCAAAGTCTCGGTAAGGTCACTGAAGCAGTTTCAACCCTTTGCCGTACGTGTGAAAACATAACTGAAGGTTACGGGTCAGCAGGAGTAAACACTGGGACACAGCAGCAGCACACTTCCAATATTAATTAAAACCAATCAGTTTGGCTTTTTAAAGGGGCATAATTAGTCAAATACAATTACTGAGTTACTGCCATGTAGCATAAATGGTAGTAAAAGTTATTTAAAATGGTTTAATGGCCACAAAATGTTCTTCGTCTGCAATTAAAGATGCAAGTTTTCTGTTTTACAGAGAACGTAAGAAGCCAGATGTTGCTCTGCTCCACACTGCCAGTCAGCTGGCTGAAAGACTTTCCCTTGCTTACATATGGCCGTTTGTGTGGAAACTAAATAAGTGTTCATCTCTTTCTCTAACTGAACGGTTTTACAGCCGCAGTTTGAGGTCAGGGAGCAGAGTTTCTGCAGGTTACACCAACTCAGATTTAAGGCTGGACTCCAGGAGCCTCAACCACTTCAAGTCACAGAACAGGATGATGTTTGTGTGCATTTCAAATATTTATGCGACAGAGAAGTCCAGCACAAATACATATACTGCCCAGGATATACAAGATTAAATAGTTCTGCCACTACAACATTTAAGACCAGTGATAAACATTCTTAAGGCCAATTTACTCTTTTAAAAATGGAGTCAAGACATTTTAAGGCCTTAATTTTTGAGAAGTTTAAGACCAACTGTAAAGTTATTCTAGAAGGTGAATCGCAGCAATAAGGTATCAAACCCCATGCAAAACGCAATAAAATCTAACAAAATCTATCATAATTCCATGGTTCACAAAGCGAACATGTGGTAGCATTGTTACACCAGATTAATACTAAAGATTATTATAGATATTATGGCAGCAGCAGGTATAACTAAAGCTTTCCTGTTTTACATAAGAGAATTTGAGTCATGCTTTACAATTTCTTTTAAAGTATTTTCACTTGTATTTATCACACTGCGCCAATAGGTTCCTCCATATTCAAACTTTGTATGAGGAACTTTGAGGTTGAATCAAAGACTAGCAGAAGCAGACGGCGATACTACGGCAAAACCAAAACACCCAACGTTTCCTCTGCTAAAAGAAGAACGGATAAAAATACTCAACTTCCACTGACGAGACCGTTGCATGGCTGCATCAAATGAGGAAGCGCCTCGCTCTGGAAACACTTTATTATTCTAGGCATTGTGAAGCACAGCTAACTTTAGAGTCTGGCTCTGCAGGGAGGGCAACCTTGACCTTCTTTCTGACCTGCATGGGTGCCATGGAGATGACCTCTCCTCTTTCATAAGCAACTAGAAATTAGTTGTATAGATCACCAAGGAAAAGACTGGATTCTCCGTCAAGACCGTGGCTAGAAAAGTGGTAGCAGGCAAGGATGAGATGAACCAGAAATCTGGATTTACCCTCCAAGGTGGGCAAAGCCCCTCTCTAATCTCACATACCAAACATACCGGACTTTTCGGGGCTAATTCGTTAATCAGATTGGCAAATTAAACTGCTCTTTTTCAGACGCTGAAACCTATGGATAACAAAAACTGGAAAAAAGATCTCATTGTGCATTCAAACATATGCAAACATGAAGCGTCTGTTTGTGCTTCACTGGAAAGCTTAAACCCTTTGGCGTTTTTTTTTTTTTTTTTTTTTTTAATTGGTAGCTGATTTCAAGAGCTTTCGGACACGTGTGTGCGTGCCAGATAGCAGGATAAAAATCGAGTCCCACCCTTGGCGGAGCGCAGCGCGCCGGATGCTGTGCTCCTCCGAGCTTCAGCAGGAAATTAGCATGTAGTCAAGGTTTTTAAAATAAAACACAAAAAGGCAAACAGCTGTTCATTTCTTCTGAGACTTTACAGGTTACGGTTTTGAATTTTTTTATTTACTCCCTTGAAGTTTACCTTAGTAAACTTCAAGGGAGTTTACCAAGGTAAACCGCGCTGAGCGGTGTCAGATGGGATTAAAAAGTAGCTAAACTGCTTTGGTCTTAGTAAGCGACCAAAAAACCGGTTTCTTAGGCAGGTTGCAACAGAGTTTGGTCATAATATTAAGAAAGGATAAGAATTAAAAGTGAAATTAAAGATTCTTTGCCACAACTAAACCCATTACATGTTCAACTATTAATAGAAAAGCACCAATCAGATAAGAGATGTGGATTTTTCCTCATTGTGCTCATCAGCTTTGTTACTAAAAACCATCATTTTCACTCATTAATACATCGATGTGTACTTTAATGAACATTTGAGTGCCTTTTATAAACACTGCTCGTCTCGTCTAATACTTCTCCGTTAAAGTGCATTTTTCTCATTTTTGTTGCATTTGTTTTTAGAAACTAAAATCTGAGTTGATCAAAATCCAATTAGCAGGTCAAAAAAAAATAAATAGATGCCCCTTCAGTTAATGATTTCTGCAGCAATAAATCAAGACTATTAAATACATAAATGTTTATTTATCTTTCCTTTCGTGAAATTTTGCAACACACAGCACTTCTTCCCATCAGGAACAAGCTTCAGGCACTTGCTTACTGGAAGAAATATTTTTTAAATGGTCATCGTCTTCCTAGTTGTTTAGGAGGCATGAGGAAACGCTACACCCATGAATTCCATGAAGGCGGAACAGAGGCAGCTGGATATTTGTGATAAAATGTCGTGTGTTCACCTTTAAAAAAAGTTTGACACATATGAAGCAATACATGAAGGTAATAAATAAATAAATAAATGTAATGATCCACTTATTTGTTCCACATAAATCATAATAAATCACACATGCAGATTGAATATCTTTGCTTGGAAAATATGAAATCTTAATTACTCCGTGTTAATGTTCCAGAGATTGAACAAATGCTAATCAAATGTTAAATGAACGACGTTTTGCTGAGAAGAAGACGAAAGAGAAAATATCAGGAAAGATGGTGATAAAGGAGGGATGACTGTGTTCGATATAAAAAAAAAACGGAGGGTGGTGGGTGCATAGCAGTCATTGTGTGGTGGTAAATCATGTGAGAGTCACACTGGTGGAAAGCTCCAAGTAAACCCTGAGAAAAAAAAAGTCAGAACCAGGAGACTGGGGGCTCAAATCCCAAACTGCAGGACTGCATAAAATGTAGCAACAAATTGATAGTTTTTTGTTTGTTTTTTTATCTCTGAGGATTTAGCAATTTTACTTCATTCCAGCTGAATGCAATGTTACATTGTTAGAATAATGTTAAAGGTTGTTTTAGACTGAAATTACACATTTTGCAGCTTTTTTTTCTCTATGAACGAAAAAAAAAAACAAAAAAAAAACACAAAACCCCCCAAAAAACTCCTACTACACTGGCTTCATTACAATTACCTGACTGCCTTAAGATACAAATAGATGCATTACTGCTCCAATTGATCGGTTAAAAATAAATTTCTAAAAAGTTAATTTGAAAAAGAGAGCGTGGTCGTGAGGTTTCCGCAGTGGACACGAGGCACTTCCGGGACAGCGCTGCCCCTCCGTCTTAAGAGTCAGTGAAGGAAACTCAAGCCGACTTTAGTTGCGCTATATCAGTACAATATCAAGTTGGCATGAGGGGGGGGAGGGGGTTGTTGAACGTGACTATCTGCTTCCTCAGTTATGGCGTCCCACACGCTAGAACCACGCCAACCTGAACCTGATTGTGAACACTCGGAAGCAGAAGACAGCGTGTATGTTGGAGCGAGCAGGTGCCTTCACATTCATTGTACAATGAATGAATGCTATGCATGGCATTATGAACTCTGTTGAGCATTTAAAATGCTATTATTAGGCAGTTATTATTATTGTTATAATTTACTACTTTAACCGATTCATAAAAAAGTGGGGGTTTGACTTTTCCAAGCGCCAACATTTGAACCTGTGTCGACTCCAGCACAAGGCTTTAACAGCTGGTGTTTATTAACTGGTAATAAAGACACCCACCTTCACTTCTGTGCAGAGCAACTACAGTGACAGTCCCGAACACGAGGAAGCCTGTGAGGTCAGTTGTCGAATTGCTTCTGTCTCTCGCGCGCCGGTCCGGATGCCCTTGAGTGCGTACCACGCGGCTTCGAGTTTTATCTCATATACGTCACACGTCACGTCACAGTCACAGTCACGTATCGCGAGATTGTATGGCCGGCCGTTGCGATATAAAATCGGTTTCACTACAGATCCGTTCCAGAAATCTGAGATTCTTTTTTGACTACACCTGTATTAGTAAATTAAAAATAAATTAACTATTTGAGATATCTCTAATTACATTAAGACTAGTAGGAATTATGTAAGATTTACCATCATCTTGAGTGACATTATAACTAACCATGTATTAACTGCATTTTTAGATGTATAAATTAAACCTGCACAAATGAAATTGCAGAAAACCTGAAAGCACAAAACGTCACGACGAAACTGTTATTATGACGAGTCAAAATTCCAGGATGGAAAATGGCATATTCCTTACTGCAGAGCTCTTTCTACATTGTGGCAATTTTGTGCAGGAAACCCAAAACTCTTCAGGCAACTGTTTGGACAGCTATGTGGCAGCTCAACGGGGGTTACGTAGGGGTTACGTGCACTTTCTTAATTCAGATAGTCGAAATGTAGCTGTGTCTAGTCAAAAACCCATTTTTAGATGTCTGGAATGTAAATACAGATGCTAAGACAAAACCGATTTTATGTCCAAACAGCCTGCCATACTAGCACCGGTTTGCTTGAGGACATGTGCTCTTTCACGCAGTGTGGCAAACTTAAAAAGCCGGTGGGTTACGGGAAAATAAATCAGCTTGAGCAGATTTATCTTAATGAAGTAATCTAGTTTTAGTTCATTGCAGAATAGAAAAGTTAAACGCCTTCTTTGTCCAACCTATGAGCCAAAACAAAGAGCATTAGAGGTGAAACGAGGTCACCTTCACAGGGCCGGAAAACAAAAGAAACGTGTTCTACTTTTATGAAATAATAAACAGTTTCGACTCAGCACTTTCAACAAGACAAACGGATCCAATTCACACCCAGAAATAAGATTTCTCTCGCTTTCATCTCGGTGTTTATGCTCTGCTCATTGGGCAGATGTTTTGTACTTCCATTTTATTAATAAAATGTAACCTGGTTAATATAATGTACATGTAAAATTGATAAAATTCATCTATTTGAGTAATCATTAGCAACTGGCTACAATGTAGACATACTTAATTTGTACTCTGGGTTATCAATTAAAAGAAAAATAAATGTCCAACTTTGTTGTCAAAGTTCACTTTGTTTAATCAGAAAACAGATTCTACTCACATTAGTTTTTTTTTTTTTTTTACCCAAACATAACAAAGCAGTTCCAGTTACTGAAATGGCTGTTGAGTCTTTAATGCATGTCAGAGCCAGTGGTAACCTAGCATTGACAGAGACTCAAACGCATCATAATTAGTACTTTCCCTCGCTTTAAATGCATTAAGACCTGTTTGTTGACGAGACTCACTTTAAATAGATGTAAACCTAAAATTAAGGACTTTGTGACCTGTTTGTGTTTTTTTCCTTCTCTTTTTTTTTCTTTCTTTTGTTTTTTGCTTTAATTATGTTTCCCCCTCTTAAAAAAACAAAATAATACTTCTACATTGGGCTTCAGAGGTCGGTCAATCTGAACTCAGTTGAAAAAATAGTTTGCCAGCAGGTCGCAGACAGATTGGCGTCTTCCACTGTCTGCTCACCTTGAGGTGAAGCCAAATACATTACTATCTGCCAGGGACCTTATTTTGCTTCGTCAGACCCAATGTTCCAGTAATAATCTTGTTTTATTTTTTCTTACAGCAGCTGTGAAAATGTTAGCATGTGTTAAGTGGGGGGGGGGAAGACTAGTCGGCTGGTAGCTGACTCAGCCACACTGATTTTTTATTTTTTTTGTATTTTTTCCAGTTACGTTGTCTGAGACCTTCTCTTTTAACACACAGGATTAATATAGAACAGCTCGAGCTAAAGCTTAAAGTTCAAACTCTAACCCTGCACCTGCTAACCATTTGCCCTCTATTGCTGAATCTGAACCTTGTAAATAAAAGGAGGGTATTTTGTTCAGACTTTATAAAGCAAAAAGATAAGTAAATAAAGCACACAAATCATGACTCAGCAGCAAGAACAAATTGATCATTTGACGTCTGCGCAGACATGTGTTGACAAATCAACAGCCTGTGTGATTGGGCATCGTTGGCGGGTTGGGGTGAATCAGTCGCCACTGGTGGTGAATTATTAGTAAAACTTTAAACAGAAATTTGGCTGTTCTTTGAGTGTTTTTGTTTTTTTTTTTACAGTTTGTACTTATGTTTATTTGCCCTTACATTTTAATCATTGATGACGACTGAGCGAAAACAGCCTCGGAGGAGATTACATGATTGCACCTCTAATCCCTCCTTTTGTGTGACTTCAATAATGACATGTTTATGCTTGGCTCCTCTTCCTAACGTGCAATTTGTGAGAATTAGAGAGAACAGTTAGTACCATCTCTGGTTGGCTTCAGATTTCCATGTGGCGGTTCTGCGTTACCCAGCTTTGTGAATATAAAAAAAAAGAACGAAACCCTGAATATTGTTGAAATGTTACACGATTTTCAGAGAAAGTCAAATGGAAGGGAAAAAGTGCAGTGCACCAATAACAGGAAGAACTGTAGAATGGGAATGGAGGTTCACCTTTCTGGGAGAGAACGGCCGAGCTGCAGAGGAACGGTCACATGTGTCAAACTCAAGGCCCAGGGGCCAAATCTGGCCCATAGTGGCTTTTTTTTAATGTGGCCCTCTCGACTCCAAATTACATCAATAAATTCACACAAAATCAACAAATCTCCACATTTTTTTCTCAAAATTGGTCAAAAATGTTGAGTTTAAGTGAATGTTGCCTCAGCCTCACTTGATGTCAAGTGACGGTCCGTAACTTGATACAGCGAGTAATTAAAAAGTCACATTTAGCATCATACATTAGCACAAATATCGTAAAGATTCCTTACAAATATTTGTACATTTTTGTGACAAAATCTGCAAATTTTGATTGAAAAAAAAAAACACTAAAACAATCACAACATCCTGGAGGAACAGCTATTTATTGATACCTTAACAGTTTAATTGGTTTTATCAATATAATCTGGCACAACCGGCCCTTTAATAAACATTCAGATTTTGGATACGGCCCAAAATGATAATTGAGTTTGACATTCCTGGTTTAGATCAAAGCATTTCTCATGATGTCGAACGGCCCAGTCAAAGTCTAGCTTATATCCAAAACGTAAAAGTTTTTCATCCAGTCTGACTGAATTCAAGCCATTTTGTAAACAAGTACAGTCAAAGGTTTTAGTGTCAAGATGGTTGATGGACTTTCTGAAAGGTAAGGTGTTCTAAGAAGTACGCCCTAAGATGTGATGAGAATAATTACCCGACACACTTTTAAGGTTTTTTTTTGTTGTTGTTGTTTTGTTTAACAAATAAAATTAATGATTTATTACGTGCAACACGACAGGCACACAACCCCAAAAAGTAGCTAAGTGAATAAGTGAAGTGTGGATCTTCTTCTAGGACACAATCCAATGGATGTTTGAATGAATGAATGAATGCGTGTTGTCAACATCAGACTAATACATCTTGAAAACCACGTATTCTGTAACTTCACAATTATGTGTTGCTGTGTTTTGGTTTGTCTCCTGTGAATATTAAAGTCTGTGGTTGTGATTGGACAAAATGTGAGGAAATGTTAGGAAACCTCCTCACATTTTAGGAGTACAAATACAGTGAAGGTGTGAAGAAACTAACCATTTCTTTTTAGAAGATGTACAGTTACACTCAACTGCCTAAAATCCCTACTGTGCAGACTTTTTTCCCCATACTCAAGCATTTAGAGCCCTTAAAAGTTCAGCACATATTTTATTCTAAGTGGTTGATATGGTTGCACACATGTTTAAGGTCAAGAATGTGATGTTGCCGCGGAGGAGACGAGCGTCAGAGTGAAATGTAACTGTCTCGTTTTTTTCCCCTCGGTTTGATCACGGTGGTCTCACTATTCTCAGGTCGCAGGTAACGTCGTTCAGACCAATCCGAACGTTTCCACTGTTTTTGCAGCCGACACTCGCACCGCTGCAACAAAGTTCCGACTGTGCGAAAGCAGTGAGGCAACTGCTTTCTCGGAAAAGAGAAACCGCAAGCTGGTTGACTCTAACTGGACCTTTTGAAAATGTTCTGTATTTTCAGGCTGAAAAAAAGTGTGGTAAGAAATTCTGAAATTGCTACAAAACACATCTTTTTTTTTATTTTGGTCCCACTTTAGAAAAACATCCTCTTTTGAGAAAATGTTTTACTTGATAGAACCATTTTTTCTGCTATTTTGTAGTATAAATTATTTTATTGTGCAATTTTCTTTTCCAGAGAGATGTGACTTCATACAGCGACTTTCTAAATGGTTAATATTACATTTAACAGTTAAACTAAAACCCTTTTCTTAGTCTTACAAAATCCATACATGATTTTAGCCTTGCCATTGCCTTTCTATGCGTAATTCTGGTTGATTCTCATCTCCCTCCAGTGCTCCATCTGGGCTTCTTCCCATTGACATGAATTACTCCAGTAGAATTTTAGAAGTTGTTTACAGACCAGGCAATTAAGTCTTATTCTTAATAGATCATTCCTCCAGTAGAACACTGAAAGTTGAAAATTGAGTTTCAACTGTGGAGCAAGTTGAATCTGCACTGCAGGAGCCAATCAGATCACAGGCCTTTGAAAACAAAAACGGTTTCTTTAAAGAGAAACTGTTAAAAAAAACAACTAAGTACTCATGAAAGCTCAGACTCATGAAAGCTCAGTTAGAACAAAGCAGGTTTAAACATAGAGTTCAGCATGCTTTATTTGTACAAAGGTGTGCTTGTTAACTACATTTGCTGCTAATCTACTGCTAGCATGGCTAAAGAGATAAGCAACAACAGCACATGGATTATTCCAAATTATATCAGAACAGTGATAGGTAGAGCATACCTAAACACAAGAAGCTCATCATTGAAGGCCTCACTCAGCTCGAAGAAACAGATTCCAAGAGGAGTTATGAGAAAGGA